CTGAGCAGGGACATCCCCAACTAGAGCAGGTTGCTCAGAGCCTCATCCAACCTGACCTTCAAAGTTTCCAGGGATGGGGCAGCGACCACCTCTCTGGGTGACAAGTGACAGTGCCTCTTCATCCTCAGTGCAAAAAATTTCTTCCTCAGATCTAGTCTAAATCTCCCTCTTCTAGTTTAAAACCATCTCCCCACACCCTGTTGCAAGAGGCCCTGCTCAAAAGTCTGTCCCCAGCTTTCTTTTAAGCTCCTTCAAGTTCTGAAAGGCCACCATAAGGTCTCCCCAGAGCCTTCTCTTCTCCAGGCTGAACAACCCCAACTCTGTCAGGCCTCAGAGAGCTGCACAGACTCCATCAGTTCCTGCTCCTGGACAAGAAGTGCCCACCAAGAGTAACCCAGCTCCTCCTGAAAGCTGATTTTACCATACAGGAGGGCAACAGAATCCACTGCCTGCTTTTGTGGGAATGAGAACCTCTGTGGCTGACACACAGTCCTTCCAGCAGCACCTGAAATGGTTTTAACTCCATTTCCCACTTTTACCCAGTTTCTCCCTGGGACTTGCATGGGATAGTTGAGTTGGGCACTATCAAGGATCCAGTCCAGGCACACACCAGGGAGGTGTGGACACAGCAGCATCACATGGAGTCACCTGCACTGCAGGGCCAGGGAACTCACTGGCTTCCTCCAGCTCTCACCCCTGGCTCCTCACAAGCTCTCAAGCAGTAGCAGGGGTGCAGGAGGTGTGGTTGTCTAAGGATGGGAGTAAAGCTTTGTAGGGAGAATTAATCTCTTCTATCAGACTGACTTTCAGACAAAGTTTTTTCATCTTTTCCTGTGTTATTTACCCATTTAAAAAAAGAAAAAACAAAAGCACACAAACACATAGATCCAAGCCTCATGGTTAGGGAAAAAATACAGCAAAACAAAACAGGCAACTAGCTTATGTGAAAAGAAAAGTCATGGCAGCACGTTGCTCAGCAGTAAGGTGAATGATTGGGTTTTTTTAATTAAAGGAAAGACCCCCAAAAGCCTCAGCTCTCCTAACTGCAGCCCACCCCCAGCCACACACACAGGACCTGTCACCACTGCAGCCCTCCCTCCTCACATGTCCTGCACACTGAAGTCTTCACTGTTTGGCTTCAAGTTTGGCTGCTTGGCATGTGCTGGCTGCTTTTGTAATAACATCAATGCCATTCCCTCTGAGCTGAGACAGCACCCTTGGCAAGGAGGAACCACAGGCAGTTTGTTCTCTGTTAAGGAACATCTGCTTCCCACCACAGGGGAGGAGAAGGTGGCCTTCCATGGAAGCACCAAGCCTGAGATCACCTTGCAGCACTTGGCCCATCCCAACCAAACAGACCCTTTGCCCCACATGAGGAAAAAGGGCATCCTACCAAGATACCAAAAGCCATCTGAACACCACACCTCTGAAAGGTGTGAGGACAGTCAGCACTTGGGGGTCCCCAGCTCCCCATAACTCTCCTTCCTCCTGTCCCTCACACGGGTCTCCATGCTCCTGAGCTTCACTTCCTCATGTCAACACGAGTGACAGGACAAGAGGAAACACCCCCAAGCTGCCCCAGGGGAGGTTGAGGTTGGACATGAGGAACAATTTCTTGCCCTGGAGGGTTGCCCAGGGCTGTGCCAGGCTGCCCAGGGCAGTGGTGGAGTCCCCACCCCTGGAGGGGTTCCCAAGCTGTGGAGATGTGGTGTGAAGGACAGGGGGCAGTGGGGACCTGGCAGGGCTGGGGGAATATTTGGACTCCATGACCTTAAAGGTCTCTTCCAACCACAATCCTCCTATTCTGTCCTGCAGCTGCACTGAAACGTGTATTTGTTTCTTGTTCCACAGGGCAGAGATAGGGAATTTTCTGGGGAAACTGACAGTGAAAAGTCTATAATGAACTAATATTATCAAAATATTTCATTTGCTCATGACTGAAGCTGATTTCTTTGGATAATGTTTTGAAATATTTGTCAACAAAACTCACCAAGCCTGTTTTTGAAATGACATTTCAATACACAGTTGGGTGAAAATCATTCCCTTGGTATGAAAAGGAATTATTTAAACTTATTTCTCAAAGAGGGCAAAGTGTTGAGCCAGCTGGTGAAACCCTGAGACCCAGGACATAGGGTATGGTTTAACCAGGCTCTATTAGCACACCTAGATTCCTGAAGCCCTGAAGAGGAAAACATGACCACATAAAACCAATAACCTGTTTATGAAGGCTAATTATCCTTGCCAAAAATCACCAGGAGCACCAATCACTCCAAAGTAAATCCACTTGGAGCTGCAGAGGGGCAGCTCTCCCTTGGTGTTTGCAATCAATAACAGACACTTCATTACAGCCCTGGGGCAGGTTCCTGTGCAGATAAGGGCAATGCTAATTCACAGCACTCTGGACTCCTATCAACAGCCCTTGTCTCACTTTACTTTGTTTGCTGGGCACACTCTCCTGCTGGCTGAGCACTGCCCATCCTGACTGTCTCCAGCCATGGGCTGTTACCACAGCTGCTGGACCTTTCACCTGCATCTCCCAGGAGAGCACTGACAAACCACTATGCACTGATTCAAAGCCTCCAGATGAATTTTCCTTCCTTTTTTTTTCCCCCCTCACCTTTTTTCCCAGTAAGCCACCTCCCTGTGGAGCAAACAGGCCCTGCAGAAGGTTAGTGGCCCTTTCCCAAGGGCCCAGGGAAAGCCTTCAGCAGGCAGTGGGAATGGTGAGAAAGGAAAATAAGTCTGCTCCTCTCAGCTCCTGGACAGCAATTCAAGGCTGTGTTTTCTTCCATCCCTGAAGTACTTCACCCACTTGAATGCTGCTGCTTTTTATTATGGACCTGGTATTAGCTGCCCAAATGGGTACCTTGGAGCTACTGTAAGTCCCTGTTAGGCAGGACACACTAATTTGACTGGTGTAGATGAGTAAAATGACAGCAGGGTTTCCAGCTGGAAGGGGCAGCAAGTGAGCAGTTTATCATTTGAGTGCAGTGGGAGTAATTCAGTCCCAGGAGGGGCTGTGACAGCACCAGGAGGAACACACAGCACTGCAATGGCCTCTAACTAGAACAAAACAGCTTCCAGCCCTTGCAGATGGAAAACAGAGTAAAACAAGTCCCCAACCCCTCCAGGCAGGCAGGGAAGCTCAGCAGTGGGGAACAGGGGATGCCTGTGTCAGGCTCAGTGCCATCCTCTCTCCCAGCTTTTTTCCCCAAGCCTTGGTACTTCCAAATGTATTCACAGACCCCTCAGCATCAAGATGTGCCATGTGCTCTGTTTCCCACATGAAAGGGAGTCCCTCCTTCAGGAGGGGTGTACCCCTGCCAGGCAGCTGCTGGGGAAAGGGATCTATCACAAATCATATAACACCAGTTTGATACTGAGCATTCCCCCAGGGACAGTATCATTACACATGGCCTAAATAAATCCCTCTAGCACACAGCTGCATCTTCACCACATTCCTTAAAGGAAACTCAGGTAATTTATTTTTTCCTTTCCCCTAAAATACATTTCATTTCATATGCAAATTCAAGAAGCTGACTAGCTGAGAAAAGACAAATTTAGAGCTGGTTGGGAAACTCCACGTGCAATTAAGAGACCTTTTGTTGCCTCAGAGATAGGCTTTCTTCAAGATCCATCACTTGCTCTGGGGAAGATCTGCAAAAAGGAGGTAAGGGTGATGGACACCACCAGGTTAATGGCTGCTCATAGACCCCTGAGCTTTCCAGAACTCTATCAGAAAAATGGCAAAATCAGCTTGTGTGCAATGCAGCCCCAGGAACTGGAACCCCAGACCCTCAGTTCACGTGCCCACAAGCCAACTAACACCAGTCTGCACCAGAAATCACAGCAGTGACCTGGGTAGGAGCACCACAGACCCAGACCAGACTTCTCCACCCCTCACTGACAAGAGCTGCTTCATCCCTTAGGCACTGAGGTTATCGGGGACACTTTTCTGTGGGGGTGAAGTCTACTCCAGTGCTGGCTGATGCCTTTAGCACTGACTGAAGCTACAGTTGCCCCAGGGACCTTTGACAGTGAGTATCAGCCAAGAACTGGAAGCAGAGCTCCTGGGTGAGGACTCCCTGCAGCCCCAGGGTCAGAGAAGTGAGGGTTTGAAAAAGTGGGAAAAGAAAACCAAAAAAGGAACCCCTTGCACTGTTTTCTGACTAGTGGGTGCTCTGAACCTCTTGCCAGTGACAGTGTAGAAGGGGTGTGTGTGGGCACCAACAGCCTGGGAGAAGAAGATGGGAGCCTGGACCAACTCTGACACGTGCACCAGTGAGATGAGACCCAGCAGCTCTTTGCCTTTGCTGTAACTGCAGGCACACACACACACACATTCTCTTCTGCAAAGCACCCTGTGACACAGGAGCACAGTGACCTCAGTGACCACCCTGCTGACAAGAGGAGTCAGCTCTTTCTAAAAGCATCAGTTCCTTGGTTTACTGGTAATTTAGGCTCTCAGCCAAAAACCAGACCCTACCTCTGCTGCTTGCAGACCCTCCAACCCCCAGAGCAGCATCACCCAGGTGAGGCAGGAGAGGAAAGCAGAACAGCTCTTGGAGCAAGGCTGGGAAGAGAACCCCTAACATGATTTAGGTCTGCCATGGGGCTGGTGCTTGGAAATGGGGGCTTTGAGTGCTGCTGCTTCTCCAGACCACAGGAGTGGTGCCATGGGGAGGATCCCACCCAGCAGCTTCCTTGCAGGTTTCCAGGGGCACACGAGGCTGAAGGGGCACTCTGTAGCCAGGCTAGAACTCCTCAGGAGCTGCCTCTAAGGACACCTGGCCCAGGGAGGTGAGGCTGCACTGTGGGGCCTGTCCAGCAGCCCCAGCAGTTCCAAGCACAGCGCTGGGTGCTTGGAATGGTTTCCTCAAGAACAGCAAAACGAACGGATGGAGGGAGGGATGGGATGGAAGAGCTGGTTCAATTCCAGGCCCCATGCAGCTGCTGGGGAAGGGCAGAGGGATGTGCAGCTGCCTGCCTGTGCTACTCACCGGGCACCACGCCTTTGATGTCGCTCTCTGTGGCCATCCTGTTCTTGTGGGTGAACTGGAGGATCAGCTCCTTGGACGCCTGGAACTGCTGCGTGGCCATCAGCCACCGGAGGGACTCTGGGAAAAGACTTCAGAGGAGCAGAACAGGTTAGGGTGGCTGCCAGGTTTCTGTCAGGAAGTGACAGTGTTTAGCTGCTCACTTAACCATTCCTGAGCTAGGGAATTATCTTCCAAAAGCAGAAGAATCACTAATGAAACAAGAGGAAAGCGGATTCAGAAGGTGCAAATTAATGACATTCTCTTTTACACCCATTCACAGATGATACAGGAACTACTCTATCACAGAGAAACAGGACACAGAGAATTCTCTAACATACTTGGAGGCATTCAGCCCATCAGTACAATTTGGAAAGAGTTGGGAGGAGGAGACAGCACTGCCTGCAATAGACATCTGCTGCCAAGGAGGGAATGAATGGGATGTGCAGTGAGCACATGATAACTCACACCAAAGAAGGAAAATAGCTGACAGAGGTGATTTGGATTCTCTTATAAAGACAGAGAGAGGAAAGAGAAGAATTACTTTTTAGGATTAAAATGGAACAGATTCTTTAAATTTTAAACCATGTCACAAATCTCTTCCCCCATATATAGACTTTAAGCCATTATTTTACACAGGTCAGTATTGTGTATGCTCCAGACAACACTCAGCTGGTTCTCTAAAAGCTTCCCCTAGTAAAGACAATATTGTATCAGTTGAGTTGCCTTAAAAATATACACAAGCACAGAGTTACAAAATAAAAACTGTTTATTTTCCCTCTGGTTGTTTCCTTCAAGGGCTGATACTGACCTGATTCATTAGCTTAACTGAGCATCCTCCAGCTTAACTGAGCATTCTTCCTTTCTTCTTTTCCAGATGAGTTTATTTTAATACAAAACCAAGAGAAAAACTTAGCTCTTAAACAAATGAAGCCTCCCATACTTCTATAGCTACAAAACCTTCCAATTCTGACTCCAAGCATATTTTTCTTTCTTGTTCAGGCCTCGTTTTCACTAATATTCCAAAAGACCCTTTTAAGAGCAAATTTAACAACTACTTTTAACTGCAAATATGCAAGAGACCTGAAACTCCCCTCACAAAGCACTGATCTTTGCTGCAGATGCTGCCTCAGTTCTCACCCTTTGAAGCAGTGGACCAGGCAATTGCACCACTATGGGACAGTCTTTTAAGGCTGATGCAATTTGGAAGGCAGCTTAGGGAAACCTCCATCCTAGAGAAAGTGGAGTCTTTTTTTTTTAAGAAGCAGCAAAAAGGGGAGAAGTCAGGCAGGCTGCAATCCAAATGATATCAAAGTTCAAGAGCTGCCCACATGAGTTTTAACCTAGCTTGGCTAACCCAGGCCAAAGAAACCAACAGTGACAGCCCAGAAACAATACAGGTTTTAAGGGAAAATTCATTAGTGCAGCCACACTCTGACAACAGCTGGGCTGAGATGCATCCTCTCAAGAGCTGTTTGCATCTTGAAAGGGGCAGTGATGGCCAGAATAATAGCAAAGAACAACTTGCCACTCAGTGAAAAAGGACCATCTCTTGAGTTTCCACCTTGTCACAGAATCATGGAACAGTTTGGAGGGGATTTCAAGGCCACCTGGTCTGGCCCCTCTGCAGGGAGCAGGGACATCTGCAACCAGAGCAGGGTGCTCAGAGCTTGGTCCAACCTCCCTTGGGATGGTGCCAGGGATGGGGCAAACTGAGCCAGGGACTCACCACACTCAGTGTACAGAATTTCCTCCTCAGACCTAGTCTGAATCTCTCCTTTTAGTTTAACACCATCAGCCCTTGTCCTGTCCCAACAGGCTCTGCTCAAAAGTCTGTCCCCATCTTCCTGACAGGCCCCTTGAAGTACTGAAAGGTCACAAGAAGGTCTCCCTGGAGCAACCTCACTTCTGTGTCACAGCATGTAACCTAGATGCATGCTACAGCAAGTTATAAAGGTGTTACTGCTTATTTCAAACTCAAATCTTTGCAAAAGGGGAATGGGAGAACAAAGGAAAAGGCTCGTGTGTGTTGTGAAGCACCTCCCAAGCCCAACGTTAGGAGATGATGTTGTCTTTCCTGAAGAGATACTTACAGCCAGTAAAGCAGCATCAGCAGG